TGCAACTCTGCATCTCTCCACCTGTGCATCTTTGCTCCTAGACATCTGTCTATATGTGCACCTGTGCATCTGTACACATATGTACCCATGTACCCTTGCTCATGTGCACCCATGAATCTGTACCTTTGTGCATCTATTCACCTGTGCACATGCATACATGCCAGACAGGTATTTGTCTTACTTTATTGGCTCTTCCCTAACTGCATAAAGAGTATCTTCGCTGTTATTTTATGATCTTCAAATAGTGATAGATGTTTACCTCTGAGAAGCAACACTTTCTATACCTTATGTTAGACATTATATCTTATGTTAGACATAAAATAACAAACTTCAAAACAATGATTTTAACAACATGTTTCCCCAAGAGGTTGCCAATGACCCCTCTGCATCAGAGTTATTTTTACCATTTTGTCACCATCCCTGGGTCTGGCCCAATAGATCCATTTTACTCTCTTTCTAACACTGAGAAAATTGCTATCCAGTGTTAATTCTTGATTTTAAAAAAAAGAAGAAACACAGGGACTTAAACGCTAGAAAATTGGTTTTTAAATGTCTAATATCTTCTCTTTTGCTCCTACTTGCCTCCCCCAAAGGTTGTACATGTTATCAAAAATGCCTGTCTCCATGCTCTGTAATATTTGCTAATTGAAAAAGAGTGTCCTATCAAGTGATTGACAGAGACAGATGCTGTCCCCACACCTGGGGATCTGTCCTCTCAACAGGCAAACAGACACCCCGAGTATCTTATCACCCTGAGCAGACCCCCCTAAACTCTGAAATCAGGCTGGCAGTTTCATAAAGCTACGCCGAAGGTGTGTTTGGGTCACACTCACAGGTACATTGGGATTAATCCTGATTCAGTGCTCACAAGTGACATCTTGCTGGGACCATATATGGTGTGGAGGATTGAGCTTACAAAGCAAGTGTCTTCTCCCCTAGGCTATGGCTCCAACCCCAGAAAGCTGCATTCATATCCAGGTGTCTGGTCAAGCAGGTGGAATGCGACCATACTCGACGTGTTCAAGCTCTGAAAAAAATCTTGTTTGAATGAACAAGGCCCCTTGTGAGAAATTAGCAGAGTATTTTAAAAAGTTAAAACTGTCTTCTCCCTGGTGCCAAATGTTGTGTCTGCAAAAGGCCAAAACGTGTAGATGAAAAGCAAATTGTGTGTTCAGCCAGTCTGAATTTTTGTTCCTCAAGACAACAAACAGACCCACTTAGAATCACCAGTGGTTCTGAGGTTTTTTGACATTGTTAATTTATGCCATTTCTTTCATCTTCTCAAATTCTTTGATTACCCACAAAATAGTGATAAAATCAGCTTCCAGTCCCTGTGGGGGCTGGGAGGAACTCATCTGTTTGAGTATTTATGTGAGTGCTTTGCTTTCCCTTTTACTTTTTGTTCACTCTTGTTGCAGCAGTGGTGTGTGTGTGTGTGTGTGTGTGTGTGTGTGTGTGTGTGTGTGTAAGAGAGAGAAAGAGAGACAGAGAGAGAGAAAGGGAAGGAGGGTGGGAGGGAGGAACCACAAAATTTTTAATATAATTCAAAGACTTTGAAATTTTGGGCTCAATTTAATAAAGGCCTGGGAAAGGGCAGAACATTCTGACAAAAAAGGAGAGCTCTGGGTTATTTGTGAAGTTCAGTGACTCAGGTAAACTGTTCACTGACAGGGAAACTGGCCACATAATATTTTATACATACTTCATTTTCTTCCTATCACCCATTTAAATCATCTAAGGGGGCCAAAGTCCTGCAAACTGGGAGACTTATTTAGTTCCATTAAAAAATAGGAAAACATCATTTGGATTTTAAAATACTACATTTACGAATTTATTCATTCACTGGTTGCAGTGGTGGCTCTGTGAGTGAGTGAGTGTGTGTGTGTGTGTGTGTGTGTGTGTGTGTGTGTGTGTGGTGGAGAGGGGTGATGGGAGGGAATAGCTAATTCAGGGATATGGATTGTGTATCCACTGTTCTCATAAATCACACCCCCAGACCCCTTTTGTAAAATTTTAAGTGGAGGGCATGTTTCTGACTTTGGTTAAGTTTCAACCAAATGTCTGGGTAAATTTAGAAACTATGAAGAGCCTCTTCTTTCACTCAGATCAATGTCAGCTAAATCATACATCCTAGCAGTGTAGCCACAGAGTTTGCAGCAAAACAGGTAAACCCTGGGTATTTTCTTGCTAGATTATAAAGTTTGAAGAACTCTTTGAAAGTGTGCTTTGTTTTGGATGGGTTCGAATGTTTTCCTGGGTTTGGCTTGACTTCTGGAGAGCTTGGAGTAGGGGTGTATATGGTCAGTCACTTCCAATGTCTTCATCAAGGGCTAAGTTTAGTAGGCATGTTTTAAAGGCAGCTGCCTCCCTATAAGGCAGAGACTACTGCCTATGAAAAGTTATCATTCAATGTGTATCTCAGAGGAGCACTAAAGCATTCAAGTTTATATATTAGCTATTAAAGACTAAATGCTTGTCCTAGAGAACCTCGCGGTTCGAGAAGAGTGCTTTTCATGAATCGACAAGAGAGAGGTTTGAACAGAGGGTACTTAAAAGACAAGGGGAGTTCGACATGTTTTATTACCGCAGCATTCCTAGAAAGAGCATTTTTCTAAGGATGAAGAGTGGGGATCTGAGAGAATCTCATCAGGAGTGGGTTTTGGAGACCCCAGCGCTGCTTTGGCTCTGAATACTGAGTAACATTTTTGCAGGCAAAAACACAGAGGTGATTACATTTCAGCGTAGAGTGCCTGAGATTTGTTATGTGGTTCCCATTAGTCATAAGAGGAGCGGGGTGCCTAATTCCCAGAATACTTTCATGATAATTTATCCTAAAAAATTAATTTATTTGAAGTCTATAATAGAACTATACAGATAGGGTTTTCACAGCTTGTGCTTCTGTGGTGATTCTCATTTTAATAGAAAGTCAGGAGGAGGATTTGAAGAAAATATCAGCAACTTTATATGCACACATATATATGTGTGTGTGTGTATATATATGGATATATATATATCATGCCTGTGGGTACTAGTTTCCAAAGGCTGTGTGTAAATAAAATGAAAAGACTTTTTTGTTTTGGTGGGGGAACATTCATATTTTGTGTTTTTGGCGGACCATGGGATACTGGGGATGGATTCTAGAGCTCTCTCAAGAAAAGCTTGTACTTTAGCACTGTGTGTATTTCCCTGGCCCCCAATGCTAAATTTAAATTTTCTTATTTTGATTTTTGGGCCATATCTGGAAAAACTTAAGAGATCACTCCTGGTGGGACTTGGGGGTGGATATGGGATGTTGCGGACTGAACCAGGTCACCTGCATAAATGGCAAATACTCTATGCACTGGTAGTTCTCCCCCAGTGCTAGAATTCTTAAAGAGGATCTTTCGAGAATGGTTATGGAGGAAGTAAATGATAGTAAATCATTAAATTCTAGTTTTATTAGCTTTTATCTTAACAGTGAAATCTCCCCATAACCCAAGTTAAAATCAAAGGAAAAGAGTATATGTAGCATATAGTACATAACAGACCCCAGATCCATCACCCCCCTAGAGGTTTATTTTAGTTTTGATTAATTGATCATTGAGTATATAAAACTATTGTCATATCCACATCAGAACTTCTATTACATGTGTCATGTGTCTTATCACTTTTCTTCTAGTCACCCTTAGGGAAGATGTAGAAAAAAAAAACCAACAGTGCCTGCTTGAGCTATTAAAAGGAAACAGCAGTCACTGTTATTTTGTTTAACAATTATACCACAATTTTATTATTTATTAAAAATGCCTTTATTTATTTATAAAAAAATCTCCTTATCTTTGCTCTTGTGTGATTAAAAAAACTTCTGAAAATACTGAATTTGTGTCAACTACAATGTGGAAAAATAAAGATTACTGGTGTTTTGGCTATAACATTAATTCAAATCTAGTCAACAGAATGTGAAATTCCACAACACAACCATTGCGATCATCCGACTTAACAAATAAGTGTTCAAACTCCAAACTTCTGCAATATCTTCTGGGCATCTTAAAAAAAGTAAAAGTGCACCATGTTTGATTGAAAATCTCAAATAGAACTATGTTCACGTGTCTAATTTTTCTAATAGAATCAGAAAAGTACTAACATTTCATAATTTGGAAAGCCCTTTTATCCAAGGATATTTTTAACTGAATTTTCTCAGAAACAGACCATCAGTGAGGAGAAGCAGCAACACAACACAACAACAACCATCACCTCAAAGTTCAACCCAGAAAGAGTCCAAAGGCAGACACCTAATGCTCTGGCTTGCAAACATGTCCTGAGTCGGACGCTCATCAGAGGCTCTCTTGGAAATTCTTTCACAGCTTCTTATAGAAGATACTTTTCCCTTTGTGGAAAAGCCCTCAGACTTTAAATGAATCTGTTCATAAGGTTCAAAAGCTTTCAATTACGAAGACCATGGTGACCATTGAGAAAAGGCACTGAGCTATATCAAGGAGAGACAAAGAATAACCAGGTACAAGTTTAATTCTCGGAGGCTGTCTTGTAAGTGCTGCTCAGAAAGGATTAAGACTTCCTGAGAACAAGAGAGCTTCCAAACAAATCACTTCCCAAGTGGGAAACACACACACACACACACACACACACACACACACACACACACACACTTTAATTCATTGTTCTTGTTTCATTCTATCTCTTTTGAAAATTCTCTCTCCTTAAAAAGCAGTCATTCTCTATTTTAGAAGATCCCCAATCATCTAATCTTTGTTTTTACCCCCAGAAATAAAGAAAATTGCAGTAATGTCATTGTTTTCATCTTACCAGAAAGAGATCACCAAATTTCTGAAATTAGACTTCCCAGAATTATTTACTAAGTGCTAGTTCAGGTAAGTAATAAGAGCAAAGTGTTATAAACTATAGGTTAGTGAAAGAAACTTCTTTTAATATAGATGTTGTATATTATAAAAAGCCTTTTCGTCTCATTAGAAAACTCTGGAGATGGTTTAGAATATCGTTCTTACCTCCTCTTCTTTAAGGAGATCTTTCCTTCTCTTGCTGGCACAGAAATTCTAAATCACCTTTTCTTCAAGGAGCAAGTCTCTAGAAAAAAATTCAAATGAAATAAGTAAATGGAAGGAAACTTGATTAGGTGCTTGACGTGAAGATTTTTTAGTCCTGAAACTCTAAAAATGTAAAGATAGCATATCAAGGGATCATTGATTATTTTACCAATTAAACAGAATAAATGTTATGAATTATAAAATAGTGTATGGCTACCTTAGAAGCGTGTTAAACCTATATTTCTTATACCCATGGAGCATCTTTTTGCATTTTCCCTAGAAGAAAACAGCGAGGGATGTATGAATTTATGAATCTTTACCAAGACGGAAATGTTTATGATTTTATCTAAGACTTGTCACCTTTCAATACTGTTTAAATCCTCTCTCTATCCCTGTTACTCTTATCACAAGTTATGAGAATTAGATTATGGGTAGGAGATACTTTATATCTCATTGTAATCCCAGAACCTAGGATTACCCCAACTACATTGTGAATTTATATACTTTTGTTCTGTTTCTATTAAAGGGGGAGGGTGGGATCCCACCAACAGCTTCTTAGCTTTGCATTTCACTTACTCATATTTTTTATTTATTTACTGGAAAGTAAAACCAGGGCCTCATATGGGTGAGGCATGTCCTCTACCTCTGAGCCACACTCCCATTTTGATTATTGCAAACAATGGTCACAACTGAAATGAATCGAATCCTTTTCATACTCCTAAACAGTAGGATCCAAGTAACAAATATGAGTCCAATTCTGTCCTTCTCTTTCCCTCTCTCTCACCTTGCACTGAACAAAGAGGAAACCAGTGGATGAGGTAAGAGAGGCCAAAATAAACAGAGATCTGTAGAGCACATCTGTAGCAATCCTTGGTCAAAAAAGAGAAAGTCGACGTTATTTGAAGAAGAGAAGGGAAATAAAAGATTTTGTTCCACCAGAAGATGTGTGTGTTTGTGTGTTTGTGTGTGTAAGAGTATTTTAATTAAGGCTTATTGAGGGGTCAGATCAATGTTCAGTTATTATTTTACCTGAAAACATTGAGTTTTAGGGCTGGGAATTATGGGATTGATGTTCCATAGATGGGGAGGAAAGTTTACACCCATGGTATTGAGAGAAGATGAGCAGGTGAGGAGAGAGAAATACTTGGGAAAAGATGAAGGAAATGTGAGCACATGCCTTGAATGAGCCATGGAGAGAGTGACTCTCTTTCCCTCTCTATCAAAAAATGTGTGCATAATGTGTACCTCTTATTACATATATAATGACATACCTGTTTTGTAATATATAATAGTATTATTCATTTACAGCATCTTGTATGCTGCTTGATCTGAACTTCTCACATAGTGGTACATGCTACATAGATGGTTGCATAATGTATCATTAGTATTTTCATTGAAAATCTTCATTTTGGGGTTAGAGCAATACAGCAGGTAGCATGTATGCCATGCATGCAGCTGAGCTGGGTCTGATTCCAGCAACACACACAGCCTCCGTGAGCCTCTCCAGATGTGATCCCTAAGTGCAGAGCCAGAAATAAGCCATGAGTGTGCCCCACATCCAAATGAATTAATTTTAAAGAATTAAAATTAAAAAGAAAAAAAAAACCCAGCAACCTCCACCCTCTTTTACGATGGTGCCTGCGTAACTTGGATGGTAAAAGTGCTGTGGCAGTGTGCATGTAACCTACTAGCTGAGTCTAGCTGAAGGTGCTCCCACCTAATATCCAGAGCAGGGAGAGTGGTTCATCCTGAAACCGGAAATCGTTTCTTGAACAGTGTCAAGTCACTCAACTCTGTGGGGTGGTCCTCCATGCCCCAGGATCGCCACTCTTTTATTGTAAGACAAAAATAAAAACGAATTTTAGCCACGGAATGAGGTTTCATCTCCTGGGTGTGTATAGAATCTCTGAGTCCAGGAATGAGAGGAAGAAATGAATCACCCTCTCGTAGCTATGATCCCCACATCCTCAGGGGACAAGCGAGGGTCTCTGGAAAGATGGGTGTGACTTCTTCTTTTGCAAAGTGAGTCTTTGAATTTCTGGCCAATGTTCTAGCATGGTTTTATATTGCCTTGACCCTGAACTCTACACTGGGCAGGGCTTTTGCCATGTAATTCATTGGTGATGTGTTCAGCCCAAGAGTGAGCACTTTAACAGGGTCCATGAGATGACCTCAGAAACTAGGGTTCCAGCTCTGATGCTGACATACCTGATGCATAGTCAGCCTTCTGGTCTCTAGGATGTCAGTTGAACTAACACGCTTCATTGGCTCTCCACCCAACAGCTGCCATGACCCCCAATTCTGTCACATAGTAGTGGAGCCTGTTCATCCTTAGGCCAGACACTTTTTCTCTGCCTTAATTATTTCATCAATAAAATATGGCTAAGGCCAAATCTCCCCATAGGTGTGTTTGAAGAATAAAATTAGATAATATTTGTCAAACACTTAGGAGAACGCTGCCTAATATTTTAAAAATGTGCTTTCAGGGACCTGCCTGTCAGCTTTGGGCTGCAAGTTCAAGGCCGGGTGCTGCTCCATGCCATTTTTGTGCCTGGCAACTCCCTGTGATCCCTGGGGCAGCAAATTAAGGGGTGTGACCCCAGACTAGCATAGTTAAAGGTGTATGACCCCCGGCAAGTAGGACATTAAATTTGTGAGTTACCCATCCAGGAAATATGACTCCCACAGAGATCATCTGAGCACTGCTCTCAGGAGTGTATTTGTTTTGTTTTATTTTTCTGTGTTTGGGCAACACCCAGCTGTGCTCAGAGCTTACTCCTGGGTCTGTGCTCTGGGGTCACTCCCAGCGGGGCTTAGGGAACCATATGAGGTGCAGGGAATTGAACCCCGGATTAACTGCATGCAAGGCAATCGTTTTTCCTGTTTCTGGGCCCACCCCCTGACCCCCAAAGTGTTTCTGATCTCTGATTATCGCAATAACATTAACAGAGGAAAAGGAAAGAGAGAAGCAAAAGATTTTCACATTCTAAATTCTAATTTATATTTCTAAATTAAAATCTTGGTCCCAGTTAGCTGAAATAGTTGTTTTAAAAATTAGCTATAGAATCTAGATGGGCAATGAGAACTTTTATGATCAGTATTTTTCATTTCCATTTTTCGGGGGATTGGCAAGCCAGAGAGAGCAGGTGGTGTTCAGGGGCTACTATCAAGTCTGTGCTAGGGGTGGGGGTGGGGGTCCTGGTAGTGCTTGGGGGTCCAAGTGGTTCTGGGATCGAACTGGGTTCGGCTGCAAGCAAGGCAAGTGCCTTTATCCTGTTATATTTCTGTGGCACCATCATGGAAAATTTAAAATTAAACTTTCCTCAAGGGATGTTTGAGAATTCTGGGGTTCCAAATGGAGTTCATTATGCTCTTACAGAACCAGGTAACTTCCCAATTCGTATACACAATCCGGATGCAAACAAAATAAGAGGGCAGAGGTGGGGTCTAAAAAAATTGATAAGGTAGTGACACTACGATGATTATTTTTCATCATTTAGTTCCATATTTCAGGGTGATTAAAAAAGTCCTAAATACTTCTTGTCTTTATGTAATGAGTTCGTCCTCTACTCCCTACCAGCTTTCAATTTTATTTTGAAACAAAGCACAGGAAGCCTACCAATAAGAGATAAATTCTTTCAGAGAAAACTGATTAGCTTAACACCAGAGGGACAAAATGTATGCAAACCAAATGTAAACATATGACAATGAAAACAGACAAATCACATCATTTCAAGGACTGCACTCTTTTCCTTTTGGGAGGTAGGTAGTTCCTGCCTGAAGAAAGATTATTCAACCCTGTTCTGTGGATACCAGACAATGACTTACCATAAAAATACAATTGACTTAAAAGTTTGATGATACGGTTCCAGGAAGTTTCTAAAACTGAACACACCATATGTTTGAGAGAGGGGTGGTATGGATCTTTTACAGTTCAACTGAATGAGAGTAGAGATCTACAGAACCTTGTCATTGTAAGTCCATCCCCCTCCTATTATTATTATTACAGTAATTAGGAAGGGGGGGTCTCTACTTGGTCAATCTGCAGGACCCACAAGAGGAGATGCTTTTGGGAGACAAGAGCAAATTTTGACAACAATTCAGGGAGGTCTGTGGCTTGTCAACACCACTTCAAAAAGCAAATTGAGCTCATTATGACAAATTTTCACAAGGCAAACAAATTGGTTTCACTAACTTATGGATGAGAAATGTTTGAGGAATTTCTTTTCTCCTAATCAGCAAAATGAGCGACCTGGGGAGAAGATCTCACCTGCCATTTTTAGTAGTAGAGACTTGTGGAAAGTAAACAAGAGTGGTGTTGCCTATAAAAGCTATGTTGAAAACTCATCTGTGTGGCCTTGGAAGGGAAACCTTGAAATGGAAATGCTCAGCTCTTGATTCTGTGACTTAACTGATCAGCAGAGGACCATGTTGCATTATGTTTTAGGGGTGAGGAATGTCAAGCTAAGCAAAAGTCAAGCCGGTCTTTGGCCTGAGATGGCTGTTGATTCAGGTACCAGGGAAACCTGGCTCTAGGCCTGTGAGTAGCTGGGGCTCAGGGGGGACAGCAGGAGATGGGGGTCCTGATGGGGCCTTACCAACATGTGGCATTGGAAGGACTTTCACTTTTATTTTGCCTCCAAAGGGAAATGTCAGAGATTTAAGCAGGCAAGGTGCCCACGTTTGCTTTTCTTTATATCACCCCATCCTTTTCCACTTTTGTTGTTGCTATGGGCTGCTGATCACACATACACTCAGTTCTGGGGTTTGCTGGGGTCACACATCAGGCTGTGTTGCACGCTCGGCTGCATCGATAGCTGTGGTGCTTGTGTATCCTGTGGCGTCCTCCAGGCCCTTAGCAGCAGTGCTTACACACAGCTGGCCATAGGGTGGCAGGAAGTGGCTTGTGAGGTCAGGGATCCCAGACAGGAGAGCTGCCGGCCACAACAGGTGACAAGAGGGTGCTCAGAACATGTGGGTAGCAAAGCAGAAACTCTAGTCACTGAGCCAGTCTCTAGATCCCCCGTGTTTGTGTTTTAA